TGAGAGAGAGAGAGAGAGAGAGAGAGACAGACAGACAGACAGACAGACAGACAGACAGACAGACAGACAGACAGACACAAAGAGACATAGACAGAATCAGAGAGAGAAAAGAGGACAGCGCTCTCACCAGCCATTTGCACATCTCCATGTTTCCTGTCTGTGCTGCGTGGTGCAGTGGTGTCATGCCATATACGTCAGCAGTGTTGACCGGTATCTTGGTTTTAGAGCCTTCGAAGATCAGCTGTAAAAAGCAACGGGTAAAAAGAACTCGTCAGAATCAGAAGTTCTGTTTGGCCAAGGAACCCGCTAGATGGTATTACCATTGCCTGTAGGCCTACTTTTTTTGCCTATTAAACTGATCTCGACTTTGAAAGCAGTTTTTTTTTTTCAAGTTCGCCATCCAGAGCGGCCGTGCATTCGTACGAAAACAAGATCTCGTGTGAAGATGGTTTGCTTAACCTCATAGTAATAGTAGAATATCGTTTCAGAAAATATGTCTAAGCATGCTTGGAGTACCAACGGCGAATCTTTTAAAAATCGTTTAAACAAAATGGTAACAGCCATGTGCTGTGAGTGTGTGTAAAGACAAGGTCGTGAGCAGAATAAGGAAGGGATTAAAGTTACGAGTTGAAAGTAGGGCACTTTCCAGCACAAGCATGCTGCTATCCTGAAAGTTGCCAATGTCCTGACTGAATGGAAATTAGACCACTGATGATTTCGATATGAAAATTAGAACTTTTATCAAATTAAGGTGGGTGGTTGACGGGTGCTCTGGTGTGGTTTGCTCCTTCTTTCCTATCAAACATCTATCGTCCTTATCTCCCCTTCTTCTTTTTTATGTTTGTTGTTCTCTTGTAACACCTCTGGTCTTCTGGCGCTCATATGACCTTATGCAGTTGCGAGCGTCGTAAAAACCTCTACTAAAACAAACAAAACATAAAATTAAGTGCCGGATAGCGTCCGTATAGATCTACCCATAATGTCCATTTGTTCTCATTTACGAAGAAGATAGTGTTAGAATTACAAGTTGATATGCAATTTTTGTTTGGTAGGATCAGATATTCATCCAGTAAGTACATACGTTTCTTAATGAGGCACAATAGAAATATAAAAGATTATAGATTTAATATTCACGTGCCCTTTTGACTGGCGTAGGCTTAAAGAGTAAATAATGAGCAAAGTAAAAGCAAAAAAAACAACCTTAGGAAAGCATCATATCTCTGTCTAAGTCACCAACCGACTGACTGACAACGCAGTATTTAAGTAACATAAGAATTCATAACATCCATCTAATATTTTAGTTTTCACTTCAAACTGGTTTGCTGGCCTTTAACTTAAGTTACCATTGGAGTGCCTAACTGACCAAAATGACGTGGCCTGCCAACTATTCTTTTAACTACCTAACAATTTGAAACTATTTACTTAGAAGCTGGTCATTTGCTCTGTTAGCCTATATGAATGTGTTAGAGCTTTCCTTTAAAAAAAATAAAGTAATCCAAAAAGTAATGAAAGGGTTGATTGATAAAAGGTAAAACGAAAATGAAATAAACAAATACATAGAAAAAGAGCGATGGAACTGATGTACTAAACATAGGAGCAGAGATTGCTGGAGGGATGGACGGATGGAGATGTGAATAGATGGGTGGAAGAATAAATATCATGACATATGACCTCAGCGATCCTCCTCTCAGAACCCTTGGCTATGATGTGCAGCGTATTCCCGTCCGTGTTGTGCATGAGAAGGGGATTTCCCCCGTGGTCCAGGAAAAGTCTTAGAATCTCTTCATTGCGGAACCTGCAGGCTATGTTCAGAGGACTTGACCGTGTGGGTGTCATCACATTGCAGTCTGGGTTTTGCGCAGAAAAGGGGGAAAGGGAGGATCAAAGAATAGAATACTCAGTTTGTTCATCCTTGTGAAAATTTGGTTTACACTTTGTGAACGTCCGGTACATTGAACAATCATACTTGAATAATAGATTCTGCTTGTTAATTCTTAAAAAACTGACACTTTCTTGGAACGTCACTTAGAGTTCACGTCGGATTTCGCATCAAAAAAGAGATAGCCAGACTTTACTCAGGCTTGAACACCGTTACCCTGGGATTTTACATTCCTGAGCAGAAGGTGATTTGGCTTAACTATTAACGCTTTATATCAGTCATACATAAATTTCGTTTCCCAATGTTCAAAACGGATGGAATCAGAATTAAATTATGTTGTATATATTATACAGGTTAGTGAATTCAAACGTATGTGTGCGTGATTGACTACAGTGGTGTGGTATTATAAGATGCTTAGATTCCACGGTGACTTTTCAAACAAGGAAAATCTGAAGAATAGAAAAGTGTTTGTTCCAGGGGTTTTGGGTTACAAATCAAAGTCATTTACGAACATGGTCTCACGCAGGTACTCAAGTCTTGCGAAATAGGGTACAACTAGTATATCATAACCGGAATTGAGTGAGTCTCCCAAGGGTCCCATGAGTCCAGTGTTGGTATGGGAGGAGAACCAAGGAATAGATAGATAGACAGACAGACAGACAGACAGACAGACAGACAAACAGACACAAAACACACAGACAGATATATAAACAGATAAACAGTCAGACAGACACGTAGAAAGACAAACGGATAGACAGACACAGAAATAGAGCGTAAGAGAGTGGGCGATAGAGGGAGGGACTCGAAGAGACAGAGACGAGGCATGCCGATGACATTACGAACAGTTTTTGATAACGGTAAGAGAGGTAGGAAAGGAGAGAGAGAGAGAGAGAGAGAGAGAGAGAGAGAGAGAGAGAGCGAGAGTGTGTGTGTTTCTGTGTGTGTGCGTGTGT